CCAAGAGGCCCACAAAGAGGCCCCCAAAAAGCCCCCAAAAACGCCCCCCAAAAGGCCCCAAAACTGCTCTCAAGAGGCCCCCGAAAGCGCCCCGAAGAGACCCTAAGAAGCATCCCTGAGAACTCTGACCCACAGCCCACACACGGTGGCGGGATGGGCCGAAGGCCATTAGATCCGCCGCCCCCTGCTTGCAGGGGTGCACGGCGTGCTGGACGAGCTGTTAGGTTTTGGTTTTGGTTCTTTTTCCAAAAGAACTCCCCAGTGGGCTCCGGCAGAACCCGCCGGCCACCCGGAAAATCCCCAAACGTGCTCAACGACCGGAAAAAATCCTCCAAAAACGGCCGTTTCGCTCGGGACATCCTCAAAAAATCGCGAAGATGGCCCAAGATGGCCTCCAAGTCCGCCCGAGATGGTCCAAGACGGCCTCCAAAACGGCCCAAGAGAGTCCAAGACGGCCCAAGACGGCCCAAGAGGCCCCCCAGAGGCCTCCCAGACGGCCCAAGAGGCCTCCAAGAGGTCCTCCAGGAGAGTCCGAAGAGGCCAAAATCATTGATTTTCCTTTGGTTTTTGAAGGATTTTGGCATTTGCGCCTTTTCGGCTCTCCGACGGCTCAAGACGGCCCAAGAAGCCCCCAAGATCGCCCAAGAGGCCCCCAAGAGAGCCCCCTGATGGCCCAAGTGGCCTCCAAGATGGCCCCTAGAGGGCCCCAAGACGGCCCAAGAGGCCTCCAACACGCCCAAGATGGCCTCCAAGACGCCCAAGATGGCCTCCAAGACGGCCCTGGAGCGCCCCAAGAGGGTCCCCCGTTGGCCCAGAAAGGCCCCCAAAACGGCTCCCGACGGCGTCAGACGTGCCAGGAACCCACCAAGATGGCCGAAGTTCGCTCGAAGCTGGCCCAAAAGGGCCCAAGAGGCCCCCAAGAGGGCCTCCAGGAAGGCCAAAAGATGCCAAAATCACTGATTTTCCCAAGGTTTTTGATGGATTTGGGCATTTCCCTTTTTTCGGCCTTCCGACGGCCCGAGACGGCCCAAGAGCCCCCAAAGATCGCCGAAAGATCGCCCAAGAGGCCTCCAAGACGGCGACGATGACCATCAAGACGCCCACGTGTTCCCCGAAGGCTTTCCAAACCGATTCGGGGAACACATGGTCCGATGGCTTGGCAGGTCTGGCCTCAACGTTCGGCCACATAGGCGCTTCCACAAAGGCAGGGGGCGGCGGTGATTCGCCGTAGGCGTCTTCGATAGCAAGCCGCCTAGAGAAAACTGTGATATCTGGACCCGCCTCGGCAAGCTGCAACTAGGCAAAGACTTCTCGCTCACCAATGTGCTGCAGACGCCTTCTTACCTTTGCCCGAACAGTTTCTGCGTGCTGGTGCTCAGGGCTTCGTGATCGGCACCCGTCATTGCCGACGAGATGGCCACTCGGACCGCGCTCGAGGCGAGAGTGGATGAGGTGTCCAAACACCCCCTGCACGAGGCAGGACACATGGCCACACTTGTGCGGACATTACTTTTCGGCGCACCAATTCGTCAAGGAAACCCGCTGGCAAAAAGGAGCGCTCTGCCCCCCCCCCACCCACCACCCCACCACACACACACACACACAAGCCACTGCGTCTGTTGCTCGTTTCTTCTCCTCGGCTCACATCCTGGCCGCCGATGGAAAAAGCTGCCAAGTGTCGCGGGAGCACGTCTCCAGCTCAGCGTACCCTCTGGTTGGATAGCCCGTGTCTGGAATTCATCCCTCGGGATAACGCCTTGTCAAAACTGCCGAAGGGAAGGGTCTGGGTATTACAGCTGGCGGGAGGACAAGTCACGCCTCCCACCAGATGTTTTACCACAACGGTTCGAAGCTCTGGCGTTGCAAATCCTGTGGGTTTTCGGCTGTCAGCAGAAGAAGGATCTCACACAGGCATGTATGCAACCCACGCCCACTGGAGTTAGTTTTTATCTCCACAGGAATATGTGAGGGCGAATGGCACTGGTGTAAATTGTAGCCTTAAAATGGCCGAGCCGAATGCTCGTGTCTCGTGCTGTGGTAGCGTAGCGCAGCGCGCTGCCCCCTCCCATTTTACCCTCAGCGCTGCGCGTGGTGCAGCCTGGCGCCGCCGCTGCTGCTCGGCGCCGCAGCCCCGCCTGTGGGTTTCCTGCAGGCGGGGCGTCCTCCTCCCTGTTCGCTTCTGCCCTCCCCGCTCGCTCTCCCCCCATGCGTGCGCCGCCATGGCGCTGGGTGGCTGCCTGCGGCCGCCACGCTGGGGCCCCGGGCTTGGTCTTGCCGCCCGCCGCCTCCGCCGGCCCAGCATTCTGCTGGACACGCCCCATCCGCGCGCCCACCTGGGGAACGCGGATCCACCGCCTGGTGACCCAGGCCCCTGACTGCATCGCACACCTGACCCGTGCACTGCGCCCCGCCGCCGCGGGAACCCCGGGCGCAGCAGCCGCCGCTGTCCCCGCCGGCAGAGCCAGCCGCGCAATTCGCTCCGGGCGTGGCCCGCCCCCCT